AGACATCAATCCATAGACTCTAGAAGGTCATACAAGATAAAATACAAAGAAATTCATGCTTAAAGATATCATAGTGAAACTTCAAAGATGACGAGAACAGCAATAATGAAAGCCAGAAGACAGTGAATAAATGTGGTGAATTATATAACAACTACTCTGAGTTCCACATCTAGTGAGGACTGTTTTCAAGAATGAAGATGAAATAATTTATATGGCAAAAGCTAAGGGGGTATGCAATCAATTATAGGGCTTCACAAAAGTTCCTCTTCTGTATTTTACTACCACAGATATTGTATGTTTCTCACATTGTGCTAGATCTTGAATATCCAATGTTATGGATTAAAAATTGACGGGCAACTTAACACCAGCTGAATTAAATCAGCATGGTGCTGAGAACAGATGTTCTACCTGAGCAAAGCTGCCAGCATAGAGATGTGGAGAAGAAGAGTGAGCACTGTGGGTTTCTCCAAGTGTTGCTGTTGAGCCACTGGTTCCCCTGGAGGTGCTCATATAGCTTCCCCAGTGTGAGTTTGACCATTGTTATCGGAGGAGCTCGGAACCTTGTTGGTGAGAGTGGCTGTGGGTCACTTTAGGGGAGCTCTGGTTTTACATCAAGCATCGCTTCCTGGCTCCAGAGGGGAAGATGTGTGCTGTTTAATCTCCAGGAGAAACTCGTCATGCTGGCTTTCTGACATATACTCAACTGTTCTTATCGTCGGAGGAGCTTGGGACCTCTGTGTCACTGGGGATGGCTGTGGTACTTTTCGGGACAGTCCTAGTCCTTGTTTTGAGTGTGACTTCTTGGCTCTAGCTAGAATCCTCAACCTACCAGCACAGTCAGTTCCTGCTCTGCTGGCATAGACTTCCTAGCTTCCAGCGCTGACCTTTGGGCCTTCCCAGTGTGGATCCATAAAACAGGCTTGCATGAGTCCTTGTGGGCTCTAGACCTGCATTTGGACTCATGGGAAGCATTGTCATGGGCTCTAGGTTTTCATCTGGACTCAGGCAAGACATCACTGTGGCATCCAGGCCTTTGGCTGAATATTCTGAGTCTTTAGTGTTGTAGGCAGATTTCCCGCACTTTCTTGTGTTAAACTATGGGTGACCATCATAAAATAATATTATAAATTCTGAGTCCTGATTCTAATTTTTCTCCTCACAACTCCTGAATACAATATCCAATGATTAAGTGCAGTCTTTAAATCAAGATATACAGTCTCAAAATGCAAACAATGTGTACCACTTTAGCCAATAAACTAAAGGGCATCAAGTTAAATGTGAATTTCAGATATAATTTAAAACAATGCTATAAAACGGGCACTTTTGAGATCTTTCAAGTTTTTTTTTTTGGTCATTTTCCTTTTTATCGTACCAGGGATCGAACTCACGACTGCCTGCTTGCAAGGCAGGCGCTTATGCTGCTGAGCTAAATCCCCAGCCCAAGATCTTTCAAGTTTTTTGAGAGCTGGTTTTAGTACTCTGATGAGGACCAGGTCACTCAACACAATAAAGAGGTGAGATCTTTAGTTACGAGATGACTTGTGTCTCTCCCAAATTCCTATGTTGAAGTCCTAACTCTAAACGCTGGTATTTCATGATATAACCCTATCTGGATATAAGATCACTACAGAGGTAATTTGTAAAGATGAGGTCATACTGGAGTATTGTGAACCCCTAACCCAGAATGATTGGTTTTCTCATAAAAAGGAGAAAACGGACACAAATACCTGGGGAGAGCACTATGTGAAGGTGAAGGTAGAGACCTACTAGCCAAGAATAGCCAAAGACTGATAATGATCTGCCAGCAATGGAAGAAGGGCCTAAGAAGGACCCATCTGCACACTGATCTCAGCCTCCCAGCCTGCAGAACTCTGAGACCAGCTTCTAGTGGTTGAGTGAAGTACGGAAGCCCTCCAGTAGGCACAAGTTTCCTTTCTAGATGTTCATTGGAAGCCAGATCAGCTTAAGTGGTCCTGAGAGCTCTCCGATGGAACTGGTCCCCCACTGGTGCTGGCTCTGCTGATACTCTCCAAGATCAAGCCTTGGGCAGTACCTTAAGCCCAAGGGTCTCTGCTTGGCAGGTTCAGTTCCACTTCCCACTTCTGGGCCGTGAAGAGTATGTGAAAAAATCCCCTTCCTCCGTGCTCCTCCCCATCCACCCAAACTGTTTTCTTTACTTCCACCGAACATGAGAAGCTGTGTGGGCCTCAGTAACATTTCAGTATTCTTCCTTTCCTTGTCTTCTAGCTTTCCTTGTTGCTGTTTCTCTTGGTCTTTGAAGTTTCACTATGATATGCTTAAGTGTGAATTGCTTAGTATTTTATCTTAAGTCTCTTGAATCTATGGATTAGTGTCTTCAACAATACTGGACCGTTCTCAGGGTCCTGCCAAAGGGAGCCCCCCCCCCCATTTCCTCTCTGCTCTTCTCCCCAAAGCCTCACTTCCAAGCCTGAGTATGCAATGAGCTATCTTTTTAAGCATCTCTTCCCTGGCATTTTCTTTGTCCTGGGGCCATCTTCTCCCAGATGGTTTTCCCTGACTCCCAACTGATGGGATGTTTATTTCTTCAAAAGTACTAATTAAGCACTCAGGAAATACTAATCAACTTCAGGGGCACTGGTAGTAGGGAACACCTGTACCTCAAGAGCATGGCAACTTGGTTATCACTTAAGGATGGCAAGGTAGTCTCTCCTCAGCCAACCCTGGTTGACGTACATGGGCTCCCTAGTCGAAGCTGAGAGTCCCAAGGCACCTAGGCTCAAGGGAGGCACCCTGGAGTGGATGAGTGATGTTTCAGACAGGGAAGTGGGAGGGCCATCAGTGAAAAGAAGAGGCGGGTCTGAATGCAAGTTCTGGCTCTGTGTGCTAGTGAGTGAACACAGGGAAGTCTTAATGAATTTTTCAAGCTCTTGGGCTTTTTGATCTCTGAGCATCTACCAGCGATGGTAAACCTTTTAGATCTTCTAATGATGCAAACAGCCCGCTGCAGCATGTGTACCCTAGGTTGGCCACACTGGAGAGGATTCAAAGGTGAAGCAAAAATAATACCACTGAAACAAGTCTGGGTATAATGTCAGTGGGAAAGAGGACACGAGCCAAAGTAACTACATGGCAGGAATAGTTGTAAGAGTTTAAGCCATGGGAATTCAGAGGCAACTTCCAACTGAGATGATTTCACTGGTCTGGAAAATAGTGTGGTTTGTTGGAAAAGACAATATAGTCAGAGAATGGAAGCAGAAGAGTGTGGGGATAATAATACTCATGGTTCAATGATCCTGGCAGGAGAAGGCTGAAGAAACAAAAGCCTTCAATGATTGGCTAAAACATTAGAACCTTCATAAGAGCACATAATCACTACAGCAAAGTCCTTTCAACACTAGTGCAATACTGTTTGTATTCAAAACAGTAAGAAATAGTATCTGATCATATAATTCTATGTGAGACATGCCAAGATTATTGTTCATCTTTCCTCTTTAAGAAGCTTAATTAACCATAAAGCTACCTTGCTGTTGGTGGTGGTATACTAGGGATTGGCCCCAGGACTTTTGCACCGATCTACATCTCTAGCCCTTTTTAAAGTTTTCATTAGTATACATTTGAAACAACTAATAGTTACACGTTTTAGGGAATTTGTACCTACATATATCTTATTTTTGTTCCATTTACCTCCAATCCCAAGTCTCCAATAAGTTTGCCGTTTTATTTCTTACCATCTCTTTTTCTTTTCAAATTGTTTGAGACAGGATTTCAGTAAGTCACTAAATTGTCCAGGTTGGACTCAAACAGTCTTCCGCCTCCCAGTGCTGTGATGGCAGGTGTGCACAAAGTTACCATTTTTTGAATACTGTGTAGATCTTGAGAGCCTTACACAGTACTGTGATAAACATTACTACTATAGAACTGAGATTTCTAGAATAATGGTAAATGGTAGATAGATCTGTCACCAGAATTTGAATCCACTTTGAGCCTGGACACTAAGCATGCAACTACTCTGCAATGAAAATCTGGGTCAAGGAGGACTGGTAACAGGCTTGTAACTCAAGATCTTACACACACACCCCTAAGTTGTAGTGGGAACATTTGGAGAGAAAGGACTTCACTCTTGTAGTCATTTAGCGTTCCTGTCTGTAACAAAGTAACAGCAACCTCTTGATTGAAATGGGCGTCTGCATTTCCCTGATTTGGCACATCCTTCTACCTACAAGTTCCCCAGGATTATTCATTACAGATCACCTTTTAGCCCCTCTCACTATTTGCAGAGGACACTTCTGTGGGCATAGATGTCACCTCCATAAAAGAGGTTAATGGTGTTGGGGTGCCTAACTCTCTTTATAGGATTATAGGTTTTAAGGTGTGCGGGGGCGGGGGGGAGACTCAGTGTCTGTCCGAATTGCAAAACTCTGGATAGGATCTTCTGGTCCTGTAAGATCCTCCAGTCCCAGGACAGTACCTAACTCTAAGGCACAATGCACCACCCTCCAATATGCGATGGGATTTACCTCTATGTGGAAGCCAGTAAGAAGAAAGATTGAGACCAGAACAGGAATAGTGCACAATGAAATTATTTCTCTTTGAAACCCAAAGCACTAAGAATATAAACCACTTTTTTGGTACTGCTGATGTCAACTCTGGGCATTACTTTATTGCTCCAGGTTAATTTTTGGACAGTCTCTTTTAGGAAACCTGCCATATACATCAGATTGGAACACATGAAAATTGTTATTTTGCCAACAAAAATGATCACCTCCTAAGAATCATCTTAATAACCATAGCTATGTGCAAATCCTCAAAATGTTTACTATTTTTTTCAATTTAAACAAAGACCTTAGGGTATAAAGAATAATAAGATGTAATATATAGTAAAAATTTTAATAAATATTTATTTAATCTTCAAGCATGTAAAACTTAGTATGATTTGATAGTCCTCAACATGTTTTGTATGAACTGGGTACAAAATTTTCTGCAAGGTTGGATGCACTTTAAGAAAGAAAAAATTCTCATTTGATTTATATATTTACATTTTTATTAGAATTCTTCAGAACTGTCAACAACTGGACAACATATCGGGAAAAAAACACATGAAAACACAACAACCTTTAAGCTTGCACCGCTTATATATTTACACATAAAGTTACTGTATATATAAAAAATATTTTTAAGGACTCGTGGGGTTGGGAATATTCAAAAGACATTATTGCTACATTTCAATATTTACAAAAAAGCCACAAAATAATTTCAAACATTAGGCAACTGCAAAAAAAAAATCAGATGTAAAAAAAAATTATAAAAATATAAACTTTCAATAATATCCAAGACAAAACTCTCAATGAAGTGCCCCTGAAGTACCTAGACAACTACAATTAACTTTTCTTACTATAATCAAAGTTAATAGGAACACAAAGGTATTTTTCAGACAAAGTATGGCAAATGGGAACAATCTTTTACATGACAACACAACCCCGAAGCTGTTAACTTTGGAAAGGTGCGAGAGCATCGAACTCCAGTGCAAATGGTCACTTCCAGATGAAGGGAGAAACTGCTCTAAATATGGGCTAAGGATGGGTAACAGGAAACCATGGAGGCAACAGACCTGAATCTTGCAAGACAACACACAAATCTTGCCAAGTACACATTTACCTCTTATATTAGGCAGCAATGAGGAGAGGGGGAGAAAGAAGGTAAGCTACCAAGAATAATATCCAGGCCATGGCCTAAAGCTAACACATCTGTTTCAGTGGATAAAGTCTAGGGAATGGGTACAGCATGTGGAGTATAAATAACAGTGCCTTAGGTGTGCAGGATTGCAGGTAGGCATGCCCCTACGCACTGTCCACTTCTGACAAGTTTCTACGTGAGCTCTTGGTAAGCTATTCTAGGCAGCTATGTGCAGAGACGCAGGACTGACGATGAAAGCCAAGTTACTTCTTAGATACTGAAGGACCTTCTTGGACTCGGGGAAAGGATCCCCTCAAATATGCCTCAACTTGTGCAGGTGTGCGCACACACACACACACACACACACACACACAGACACACACACGCACGCACGCACACACACACCGATATGAGATACTGGCCCAATGTCCAAGACATATCTGTAAAGAAGACTGAATCCAATTAGCTTTTTGCTATTCAAGAATCCAAACTAAGAGAGCACTGCCTCGGCACGCCTGCAGAATCATGTGGTAAATCTGTCATGTCTTCCAACAGCACCAAATTCACGGAGTACAATGCTATTCTGAAGCTGGTAGGCTTCTTCTGGGCAATTGACAGGCCAAGTTCATTGGCTAAAAGGGGACCTTTTTGTTAGGACTATACTTGGCAGTTACAGTCTTTCCTTAAACAAAAAACAGTATTAACTGTTTCCTTCAAATTGTATGGCTCAATCTATTCCTGTACACAGCAGACATAACACCAGGGTTGTACTCAAAAACTAAACCTTGTGGGCTCCCCCTCCAATGTATGAACATGCACAATCTATAGATGAGTATATACAGGTGCTGGGCTAAGGAGGCCTCATCTCCAGTTCAATTCTGAGTAAATTCTATTTAAAAACCAGGCCAGGCATACACAAAAGCTCATACAGTGGTCCAGGTTCAGGGGCACCTTTTTCTTGGCCTAGGTCTCATTCTCAGCATGAAATGTTAGACTTTTTAAACCCAGATTAGGTTTCAATTGTCAATCCTGATGTATCTTCTTATCATCCTGGATCCTGTCTTCAGGCCAAAGGTGAGTACACTTCTCTTTATGCAAATAAAAACCAACCATACTTTTCAAATAGAACTGGAGAAGCAATGGAAAGAAATCTGGGCATCTAGCCCACGCCACCCTCCCTTTGTCTAAATCAGAATATTTTTCTGTTTACAGTAGGAGCTACTTTGCTTTTGGGAATATATACAGTTTGATAGGTTGGTGGCTGATGACAAGGAAAGCATCAGCCACTAAAGTGTGCTCATCAAAACAGGATTACAGTGGGGGGCCCACTACCCTGGCGCAGGATGCAAATGGAAGGAAAACAAAATAACCATCATGGAAGCAAAAAGAATGGGGATCGTTCCCATAGGGGAGATGATCCCGAGTGGTCTTCCTGCTCAGACATCTTCGTGCACAAGGAGAGGCTGTGTGGAGGAGGCACTGCTGCCAACCGAGTTGACCCGCACAGAATGGTCCACCACCACGGGGTTCTCTGGGTTGAGGGTGCAACTGGCCAAGTTGGAGTACATCTGGGAAAACAAGGCCACAGTTACTACAGCAGTCCCTACAATGCAAGGGGCATGCAGAGCTTCAAAACCACAAGCAACAGACAAGGACTTGTGAAGAGAAGTGGTTTACAAGACCTGGGTGGATAAAACCCACATCATAATGTTGAAACAAATACAAGCTTGGCTTTACTCTTTAGTTTCCCCAAGGAAATCAGTTTACATGAGAAGTGGCAGCAAAACATCTGCAAGCCTTGCTCTCAGTTCTGACGGGACCTATTTGGGAACAGGCACTACCTAACCTATTAGAAAGTTTTACAAATCCCTATGGCCAAATGCACCCCAACTGCTGGTGTGATTTGCGGAGAAACTTATGGCTCTTGCAGGGGTGTTCAGTTGGGAAATTAAAGCACTTGGGTGAAAAATACTGTTTCATCTGAAATATAACCTGACACCCTCAGAACAAGCTGTAACCTCGAAGTACAGTATAGTGGTGTGCTGTAAGAAAAGACTTCCTCCAGCACACAGGCTGGGAGGGGGGAAAGAGTAGCTTATAAAAAATCCAAATCAAAGTAAGGATCATTAATTCTTCCTTAAAAGCAGGGGAGGAAATAATGATTTGAGCTTTCATCCCTTACTCCTCAAACCACTGGGAGGGGTCTCCCCACTTCAAACAGCTCCTGCTTCTCTGTGGCTTGTGGGCCTGACAGCTATCGCCATGTGCTGGCTACGCCTGTGTGAACAGGAGGCTGACTCCACCGCGGTAACAAGCTGCCTTTCATTCTGGTTCATAACACAGCAGCCCGCCCGAGGATGAGTGGACCCGACTGGTGAGGGGAGAGCACACCAACCCCATGATCTGCACGCAGGGTGGAGGAGAAGCACAGCGAGCGCTCGTGGGAACTTGTACTTGCAGACTTCTAAGCACAAAGCCTTCCCTCTCCCCCTCCTCATCACACAGCCTTCTCTGCTTGGCTCAGAGCAGGAGGGCTGAACAGAAAAAAACATTCTAGTCACCTCCCCTGAGGCCTAATTTACAACCCAGACCAAGCAAAGAAATGGGGAGACACAGGTCCTCAGTCCCAACTGCTGAGGGTCATGTACCTGGAAGGGAAGGGAGACTGGGGCCCGAGGTACTCACGTGAATGGTGCTATCAGAAATCTGCTTCTCAATGAGCTGGACAATCTGCTTGAATGTTGGCCTTTTGATAGGATCAGCATCCCAGCAAGTTTTCATTATGTCATACCTGCAAAAAGAGAGCCACTGTCATTCCTAGGGACCCATGATCTGTCTTACAGTGCCTGTCCCACAACAACTTTGTGGACACATGAAGTGACACATGCATAATATAAAACAGTGTATGAGATACTGTCAAAGCCTTCTATATTCTTGGCAGAAAGAGATTATGAAAAAAAGAAAAATTACAACAATGACATTTGATCAGGGTGTCAAGAAAAGAATCAAGTGACATTTCAAACTGCACTTGCGAAAACCCTCAACATCTGGGCTTCTGTTTTTAAAAAGAAAACTATAAGGGGAAACGGTTATCAGAAGGAAACTACTCTCATTGGCCCTTACATTTCAGGAGGTGCATGCTCGGGGCTGAGCATCCGGAACCCTTCCTTGATCATCTTGTAGAACTTGGAATCGACCGGCATTCCAGGGTAGGGGCTGCTCCCTGCAGCACAGACAGGTGGCAAATCACAGCCAGAAATTATAAGCAAGCAGGACAGTAATAACAAAGCCAAGAAGATGTCCCGTGTCTAATGAGGGTGTCTTCAGAAAGGATCATTTTACCTAAAGAGAAGAGCTCCCACAGGAAAATCCCATAGGACCAGACATCGCTTTCAAACGTGTACACGCAGTTAAAGATGCTTTCCGGGGCCATCCACTTCACAGGCAGTCGGGCCTAGGAGGAAAGCACACAGGTTCAGCCATGTTAATGCAGAAGCTTCAAAACGTGAATGGGAAACATCCTACACATGTTGTCCCTGCTGCTAGGTTGAGGGTGAGAACTGAGGACAGTTTCACAAGACTTTTATCTACATGACTGCAGAAGAGTCGGCAGCTTCTGAAATGGATGGTTCATGATTATATTACGCTCATGTGTGGCAGCTCATGTCTGTATTCCCTGCACTTGGGAGGCTGAGGCAGGAGGCTTGCCATGAGCTGAAGGCCAACCTGGGCTACACAGTTCAAGACCAGCCTGCACTACAAAGCAAGACCCTGCTTCAAAGAACAAACAAACAAGCAAACAAATGTGGGGACATTAAGTCAGCATATCATAGTGATTAAGAACACAGAAAGCCTGGGCTCAAAAACTGGCCTCAAACAATGTAGACACTTGTTTACTTGCCACTGAATGTACTCTTCCTCTTTCTTAGTAACAGAAAAATGGCCTTCCATAATTAAAACTACATTTCCCATCCTGCTCTGCAGCTAGTTGTAGCCATGTGATTGGAGCACTCAGCTGTATTTGTGGAGGAGATCAAGGCATGTATCCTTCCTTTCCTTCCCTCTGTCTTTCATGTGAAATCCAAAGTATCCCTCACTAGTACACTGAAAATGCCACTTAAATCTTGCTAGATAAGCCTCAGAATCTTCTGCAGAACAAAAATAATACTTCTAGCTCCATGAGTAGTTTTATGGTGTATATGAACTGATGTGGGTAAAAATGCTGAGTACTGCCTGACTCATTAATATTTGAAAAACCAGCCAACATAACTCACTCAGTGGTAGTGGTGATGGTGTCTATTGGGGGTGGTATCGGGACATACACCCAACAGCTGGACTTTGTATTTTCAACTCCTAAAGTCAAGTCAAACTGTCTGTGACTATTCCTAAGAGACTCTCTGGATTTCTGGATATTAATCTACCATAAAAATCCAAATCAATGTTAATCTGTTTAGGATAAAAACTAGGAAGACAGTTTTTTCTAACCTTAAAGTTATTTTAGTAAGCTAAAAAAGTGTAAGCTTTCCAACCTCTATCCCTAAGATTCTGTGCTAAGCTCAATATGGGGCTGTTAGCCTGAAAACTCTAGGTGGCTTGAACTTGGCCTGTATGTACACCTGGAAGGTACAAAATGTCATCCGTATTTTCATTAACTTCTACGGGAGGTCTAGCTTTAAAAAGCAAATTACAGGTAAAGACAGTACTGTGATTTTGTCTACAAAAAGTACAAAGTAGTAAGCACAGATATCTTCAAATCCTATTCCAGTTTTTACAGGTTATCTCAAAACAACATTTACATTCACCACTACTTTGAAATTACAGTAGCTTTTAGAATGATCCTCTGGGTAATAAAGAAGTACATATATTGATGTATCAGCTTTACTTTTTAAAATTTAATAACTGTGATCCAGCATAATCGCTTTTCTTTGTAATCCTAGGTAACAGCGGTGCACACCTCTAATCCCAGCGGGGAGAGGTGAGGCAGGAGAATCACAAGTTTGAGGCCAGCCTGAGTTACATAGGAGAGCAATCTCAGAAACAAAAACAAAAGTGAAAAAAAGCAACAAAAACTACATATTTAACCTCATATTCAGACAAGGGTCCTGTCAGCTTTCTTAGACTGTGAAAGTGTCCATTGCCTAAAACTGTAATACCCTGGGCAGTATGAAACAACATTCAGAGAACCTGAAGATTTCAAATGACTAGGACGGAAAATTAGGGGCAGTAACAAGTTGTGCTCTTTTCCTTGTTCTAACTTGTTTCTTAAATTCTTTACCCAGTAACTTGGGGAGAGTGATGTCTGTGATTGGTTAGTTCAACTGCTAAATCCACAATTTAAAGGTCCGGTAGGTTCTTATCCACCATTGCCAATTACAGTAACAAGTCAGTAAGAAGCTGTGGCAAAACCATTGTGATTTTCTGGATTCAAACAAGGCATTCAGAAAGCATAATAACATGCCTGGTATTATTTGAAGCTCGTGGCATACAGTAGCTGGTTTAAACCTCACAACAACTTAATGAGGCAGGGGCCAGCATTATTCTCAAGAGGAGAAAAAGCAAGATGTAAAGCCATCTGATTAATTCTTGACAAATATCACACAGCCACTAAATGATAAGGTTAGATTTTAACTCAGCAGGACTAAGCCCAGAGGTCTCTACCTCCCTTCTCTCGCCCTTTGCCAGAAGCTAGAGGCTTCTAACTAGAAGACACATTTCCATCTTTCTTTCATTATGGTACCAGAACGGAAAGAAGTTGGTTTTCTCAGCCTGCCCTATGATAATACCTGGGCTGGTCGAGCCTTTTCAGAAATGCGTGCTCAGGTCAGGAGATAAAATCAGCAGTTCTTATATAGAATCATATTGAGCAGAGTTCTACCAACAGAGATACCACAGTGATGGAGAAAATATTACATTACTATAAGGGACATAAAAATCTCCTCCAGGGATACATCTGTACTGTATAAATGGGCCTGAGAAAATAGATATAATATCTAACCATTTCCCATACCAACAGGCTACTTCTTTAAAAACCATGAACTTGCTTTTAGCCCCTTATGACGCATCTCATCTCAGATAAAAATCACTAAAATATACTGTGCCTCAGTCTCTCCTACTATTAAAGTGGAAAGATACTGCATTCTAAAACATAGATTTGCAGGACATAATGAAAAACGGCAATGAAATGAAACATTTTGAAAAAAATTACAATGTTCTACAAATCAATTATTACTTATGAATCTACTCAAAAGCCTCTGTTGATTAGATCCAACATTCTACACAGCTAATTTCAAACATGATCCTTAGATTTCAATCATTTTCACACAGTGTGTCAATCTCCCAAGAATTATCCTGCTGTGACCTTCAGGTCTACATTTGTTACACTTCAGCAAAATCAAGTTCATTGCTATTCTCAAGCTATAATGAAAATTAAGGCTATTTCTGTTTCCTTTACATGCCCTGTAATTACACAATTAGAATTAGGAATTCTAGCATTAGCAAATGCTAGTAGTCGTAATGTTCAGCATTCCATGCAAATTTTGCTGAGGTATACTTAATTTGACTGCTAAAATGCATGATATTTCAAGGTAGGATTTGCATTATGAAAATCATAGAAAACAACTTTTATCAAAATTTGAGGCTCAGAATCCTTTGCAGAACTGTCAGACAGAGAACGGGTACTCACATTTCCTTTAACCACATAATTAGAATCATTCTTGATGTCTCTGGCTAGACCAAAATCGCAAATCTTTGTGATTCGACCATGAGTAAGGAGGATATTTCTGGCTGCCAAGTCTCTGTGAATACACTATTAGGTTGAGGGAGAAAGGAAAAAACCATTTAAATTCATTTTAACTTTCAAAGAATGAAAAGTATTTTTAATTCTGAAAATGTTGTTTTTATCATTACAAAAAAAACACTAAAACTTTTGTTTTAATGTCTAAAGTACTCAAGCACCAAAAATAAAAATCAAAATTACGCCTTGAATGACACATTTCGTCAGGACCCTAATTACTATAATCGCTCTCAAAATCAATTCTAATAAATGCTGCTCCCCTTTCTCAGCAATGCTTTCATTCATAGGAAAATATATTATAGATAGTCAAATTGGAGTTTTTTTCCAAAGGAAAATTTATTTTGCATGCATCTCTTTTTGAGTGTTCTTTGAAAGAGTTCCTAAAATGTCTTCATGACTTCAATTTGACATCTTCCAAGGACACAGGAAAATGGTCTTTATTCCAGCCATCCTATATGCTTTTTTAGTTTGGTAATTGTTTGGAAATGTCACCAGTGACGCTGAAGGGTAAAAGTGTGACCTCATTTACTTCAGTCTGTCCTACTTCCTAAAGAATTCCTCTCAGTCTTCCTAACCCATGCTCCTTGTTGCTTTCATCATTTTCTTCCCATCCTCATCCTTTCCTCCTTATTATTCTCTGCAATGCCCATTTCTTGATATTTTATAAGCCATATGCATTAATATTTAGTGTCTAACATCAATAAAAACCAACTGTATGTTTCTCCATGCATAACTACCATGAGGTACACGCCTGCTTCTGCTGATAAAATGATTATCTATTTTCTAGAAGCATAGCCCATATCCTAAAGCTAAAAGTTTCAAATGAATTCGCTGCATATAAAAGAATATTCATGGAAAGCTCATTTAGACAGGTTTGCACTTTAAAGCTTATAAATTAGAACAGGAATTCCAAAGAGACAGCAGTTGGAACATGAAGAAACTAAATTTCCTCTGCTTTTGGTTACCACACTTCAAAATGACACTCTGCATTCTAACTAGGGCCCTAAAATACTCCGTTCTTTATTAAAAAAGAAAAAAAAAGCCTTCTGAGAATCACTCCCGCTTACATTCTTTGAGGCGAGGAAAGCCATGCCCTTTGCCACCTGATAGGAGAAGCTCAGCAAGTCTTCTAGGTCCAGGGCCAGCTCATCGTCCTCCATGATGGCGGGAGTCACGTCTCTTTCTATGTAGGAGCCTGCTAGGAAGAGAGGGGCTTAGGTAGCAATTAAACCCTGAAGGTTAGTACACCACTGGTAACAACAGTTTCTGAGGTGAACATGCAAGACAATCACCTCCCCAGTGTGGAGGAAAGAAAGTGCTGAATCACACAATCAATAGTCAACATTTTTTTTTTTAAAGTCAACACTCCTGGGCTGGGTCACAAGGCAGAGCGGTGACAACTATTTTTTTTAAAATTACAAACATAGTTAAAATGCTCAGATACAAAAATATATGCTCCGGCCCCAATACCAAGTGGCAAACCCTCAGAGCACTGACCCTTCCTTGGCTTTGCCGCAGAGGGACTCTACTGGGAATGACCTTGTATTCCACAGCACATGACAGAACCTCTGTAAATAATGTTACTCCTCCACGAGCACCTACCTATTCTTGCCGATCTCCTTTTGTCTGCCTTGGTTGGGACGACATAAGACACTCCAGGCTTCATATCCATGTACTCACTGGTACTGTTGTCACTGCTGGGACAGATGAGGTAATCATCAGATCAATACTGATCAGAGCGAGGACGAGGTGGGGAGCTAAGGGGCCCACTACTCTGTCACACAACGGACTGATTTTGAGAAAGCAACATGGTACTGAATGAAGGTTTATAAAACATGTTCTGTAAAACATAAGTTTTTAATATTCACTGTAAAGATCTAATCCCCAGGAACTAGATGTCCTTTCTTGGGGGACTCAGGTTAGAAGTGCTCCGTTTCTAGATCTGGTGGATTTTTAACGAGAAACACAGAGCCAAAGGCATTATTTCATGTTACTCCAAACTCTCAATTAGCCCCCACAGAGACAAGACAAAAGACAAAAGGACAGAGCTTCCAATATGTGCTGAGGGGGAGATCGTTAACATATAGCGACTGATGGAAGGAGGTTTAAAAAAACCAAGTTTGGTTCAGATAAACACCAATAATTTGGATGATTTTCTGAACCATCTGGACCTCTTGAATCTGCAACATTTGGCTGGAGGCTCTTCAAGATTTCTAGTACTTCCTGCTTCTGATTAGCATAGAAACACCATGACAACAACCTCCTTCAGAGTGTGCTGGGAACTCCAAACCCATATGGGATCCCAAAGCACAAAGAACACCATACAGGACTGAACAATTCCGGCCATTATTTTTCAAAGTTAAAGAAAATACACAGAGTGCCAACGTTTGGAAATAACATAACAGGGCTCAAGTCTTCATATACAGAATAGTATGTTTTCAAAGCAAAAGGTAGCTTTTACAGTATTTTACTACCACTATAAAATATTCAATGTTACAGACTAAAAAAATAAAAATAAAAAACTTCACCCAGGGTTTTAAACAAGCCAGAGGCATGAAAAATGGCTTTAAAAAGTAATTGTCCATCAATAATATTCATTGAGGTCTCCTTGTGGGCCTATGTCTAGCAATCAAGAGATGAAGTCTTATCATCTCAAAACAGAGTCAAATTCTTATTTCCTTATTTATTTTGGTCCTGGGCCTCTTATATGCTGAGCTGTGCTCTACCACTGAGCCACATTTCTAGCTTCTAGGGTACATTTTAAAAAGGACTGGGCATGACTATAGTTCCCACAGGAGCAGGTAATCTAGGAAATCGTAAGTGGCAGATATTAACAGCATTCAGGAAAAAAAAAAAAAACATTAGGCAACATGTGGCAGAGAAGGTATCTGTCTACTCCAGTTGTAAACCAATGTAATTCTTTATAAAGAATCTTTACACATCACTCAACCTTAGAAAGCTATCAATGATGAAAGAGATGACAATAAGGCTGAGAACTGTTTTAAAATGCACTAGAATAAAATTGCTATAGTATGATAAACCAAAGGGGAAGCAGGTGTAGAGGAATATTCAGGGCATGACAGCAAAGGTTTCCATGTACCGCAATGTTCATTATTCTTTGCCATTTGGCTACAAGATTTAAAGGACTTCTCTGTAACAACATGACAGCCTTAGCGTCTCTCCTATAAAGATTTTCACTGTGAAGAAGCATACAGAGGCTGGGCATGCTAATGCATGCTGGTAATTCCAGCCCTTAGGAGGCCGAGACACAAACACTGCCATGGTGAGTTTGAGGTGGGTCTGGACTACACAGTGAGACTCTGCCTCAAGATGCACAAAGGACCACGCTTAGCAGGATAAATGTAAATACATGTAAGAACAGAATCACGATAAAAGAAAGAGGTACAGAAGTATCAGATCTCATTGAACTAAGGCTAAGGAGAAAGATTAAACATGTACATTTTAAAAAAGCAAACATCTAACATTTACACCATTTGAATCTTTAAAAACACTATTTGAACTTTCTAAACAGTTAATCACATTTAAATAATTTAATAATTCTGATTTCACACCTAAGAGTACCTTGGTTCATTTTTTAAAGAATCAGCCTTGATTGCAAACCCTTATGACCCCATGAACTGCCTGTCAACAGCTGACTGTTTATGCAAATCAGCCTTACCAGGAAGACTCCTTTGAATGCAAAAGGTTCTTATAAAGTGCTGCTTCTGCCTGGTCTTCCTGCTTTGAGCAAATAAATGAATCACGTTTTCTTCTCAAAAAATTCAAAAGATCACCATAGCAACAATATTCTGTAATGACCAGGGTGGGCCCTACAAGGACGTAAGAAAAGGTTAACAAGAGGTGAGATGCATACTATAGAGAATCCTAGCTCCTGTAAAAATACACAGGTGATCATGACTACTAACATTCAGCTTCAACGACTGTCCCAAAACAATTCTATTAATATCATTTTTAAAAGCAGCATTATACATAGTATAATTAAACAAGAAAGATCCATTTTACCTTTCTTTCCTTTTCTTTTTTTTTGGCGGGGGAGGGTGGCAGAGGTACCAAGAATCAAACTCAGGACCTCGCCCTTGCCAGGCAGGTGCTGAGCCACTGAGCTCCATCCTCGGCTCTCCTTTTTATGGTTCTGGGGATTGAACCGAAGGCCTTCACACTGAGTTGTGTCTTTAGCCCTTTTTAAAAATAGGGTCTTGCTAAGTCACTAATCTGCCTAAGGCCAGCCTCCAACTTGTGATCCTCCTGCCTCAGCCTAAATTCCTAAGCAATATGAATGTTAGGAGCCAGGCAAGAGTACTGATTTTGCAGACAGAAGTTAATGCTTCCAAAGGTTCCTATGTGAATTCTTGATTTACTTCTGTTTATGGCAGGGCTTCACAACTCACTATAACGAATGCTGTTATGGAAATGAAGAGCTCAGACTGCAGCACAGTAGGAAAATCAGCCACATGGATCAGCCAGCTGAGAGGCAGACTAGAAGATGGGCAAAGTCCTGAAACGACCCGTGTTCTGACTGCTTCCAGGAGAAAAGAATGTTGCTTAAAACCTAGTTCTGAAGTGAACAGGCAACTAATTGCCTTGGGTAGAACTTGTCTCAGGAACCATTCATGGTAGGGCTAAGAATCACTTATGGACTTGTCAGGGCTGATTTTATGATGTTATCTAAAGCTGCCAACTTTCCCATGATCTCTCTAGATCTCTAGGAACAACTAACCTTACGCATCTTTATTTCTTTAGACCAAAATGCCTTCTTGAAAACATCAGAGACATCCTCAATGAAGCCTTGACCAAGACTTCAGAATTGGAAATTGATTTTTACAGAACTGAAATGCCTGCTTTGTTTGCTGTGTATCTGAGAAATGTGCAATTTGGGGGGCATATTTTAAATCATGATATGCAAACGAGCATTAACTCTTTATTGACTGTGATCCAGCAATACAAAATGATAAGAAAATTTTTCTGGCTGAGGTGGGACATTGAAGAGATTGAATCTTTTGATATAACATATTTGATAGTAACTAGTCTATGTTCTGAGCTGTTTTTTATAGGATGATAAAAGTAAAATTCATATTCTTCCTTAAACTTCATGTAGTTATCAATTTGGTCACTCACTTATGCTTTCACTATAAATTCTCGAATGTTTTATTGATATATAATACCTGCACTTATTTATGGCATACACTATAATAATATGCTATATATATATATATATATATATATATATATATATATATATATACCCATGTGAAGTGATCAAATCAGGATTGTAATAGGTCAGCACAGAAAGACAAATACATTTTCACTCATTTGTAGAGAAAATAGAATATAGGTCACTAGAGGCTGAGAGGATGGGAATGGACACCAAGGCACACTCAGAGGGAAGGAAGTGGCTGTCACATTCTATAGCACAGTGGGACAATGATCGTCTACAATCATAAGGATATATTTCAAAATTAATAGACTTGAAAGTTTTCTAGAACACAGAAATGATAAAACCTATGTCCTTAAGAACAATGAGGAAAACAAAAGCTAGCAACAGAGAACAAAAATCTGGATAAAAATCTTGCAAGCGGTTTGTCAAAGTATTGTCAACATAATATGAAGCATTCCTTCTGTGGTAACCTGACCTAATTGAAGGCCGTTAGCATGCAACCTCACCTCCAACAGTGCATGCTCCAAGGAGATTCACGATGTTCATATGATTCCCCAGGTAACTCAGGACCTTGAGTTCAGACATGAGGGCTTCTCTTTCCGTTAAGTGGGCACTTGCTAAAGTTGGAAATAGCTTATTTTAGCAAAATAAACCAAATGTGGCAAATGGGTATTAGGCACGTCCTTTAACACAGAGACACTTACGTTTGAGCATCTTGACAGCAACAGTCATGGCTGCATCTGATTTAATTAGGCCATATGCAGTGGCCTCTACAACTTTCCCAAAGGCGCCGGCACCCAAGGTCTTTCCTTTAGAAAAGAGGACAGCACGGTGAGAGGCAGCAGGGGAACTGAAGAACCACTTGTGAAGTTTCAAGCTCTACAAAGGAACTCAGGACAAATGCATTTCCCTGTAATGTTCCTTCTCCCCAACCTATTAATGTCTGTGAAGCTTCACAGCAAACATTTGCTTCAGGTGAAATAGAACAAAGGAAGCCACCAGAGTTCCCTAAAAGCATTGTTCTATGCACACAAAAAGCCTGCACGGAAAGCCCCTGTTTCATACTGACCAAAACTCAGCCTGTTTCTGGGAAACTCCCATTTGTGATCATAAGGAAGTTGTGTTGGGTCTATGTAAACATAATTGTTTCCATTTATCTCCTCGACAACCTTCCACTGCACTTCATACATGGGTTTCTGGGGGAGAAAAAGAAAAGATTTATCACCTTTTAATGATTAATGCTTGGCCATTAGAGCACTCAGGGGAGAGAACAAATCGATGGTTACCTGTAAATATTTGTAGGTGAGAATCATCACAATGATGCACATCATACCAGCTGTGATCACAAAACCAATCAGCAATGGGGTGAACAGGGTGTGGGGATGGGTTTGTTCTAAAATGGAAGAGAAGAGAGAACCACAAATTATTAGCAAGACAGGGTCTTTGGTCCAACCATCTATTCTAAATGGACCCACCTCCCATCTCTCAGCTTATGCAGGATATACTTGGTTACCAGTGACTCTTGCTATTCAAAGGAATCAAACTGAGGCCTTAAGAAGATGGACTGAAAAAGTTTCTGTACTACATAATTTTATTCTGTGTTTCAATGAAAAAAAAATCTGGATGGACTTTCCCCTTCAAAAACCTGCTTTAGACAACACTAAACTTCCTTTATGAACAGTGTGTATTTTGTCCTTATGTTTGCAAAATTTTCTATGTTGCGCATAAATGTCTTTCACAACTAAGAAAAACACTTTCAAAGTATTCTCTTTCATGACCCTGTCTGGAAAAATCAATAATGTACAAAAATGTGAGATTCTCCCTCTCATTACTAAAAAGTTGAGAAAATACTTTTTGCCACAGTCATGCCAACTTGGAAAAAAATAAAAGACCACAAAAAACTGAGCCCTAAAATTTTAAGTGCCATGTTTGTCTTCTAATTTTATACCAATTCATTTAGGATCAGTTAAGTTATGCTAAAAAAACCTAGTTAATCATAAAGCGCATTTTAAGGAAATTGTTTGCTGGCATACTGACATCAAGGTCAGTGTTGATTTTCAGTTACAGTATCTGGCAAAGTCCTAACTCATTTTAAAGAACTGAAATGTACAACTGAATTTAAATTTTAAATTTTTGTAATTATGCTCAAGCATAAGGTAAGTATACGTGATTATTTCTTTCCAACCCTTTTCTAATGGAGACAGTTGTGAATATATATAGAGACACCTACATGTGTGATACACACACATAAAATATATAAAGAAACATATGAAAAGTATAAACTTCATTAACAAGGTAGTACAGAATGAAATTTAGTGACTTTGATGACAGTATGGTGTGATGCAGGTATGACCAGACATGAAATGGCTAATGCTGAAATGGACTTAAGTAATGATTGGCATGACAGATGAAGTCTAATATCCCCTTAAATTGGAGTAAAAAGAAATATACCTTTATTGTTACCTTTAAATGCAAAGTTAAAATAGGCAGAAATCTTGCCCACATCGTTGGAAGCCTTACACTCAACCGTGCCATTGTGCCGGAACATACTGGAATCTACAGAACTCTGAACCAGGAGTTTTCCAAACGGCGGCACAGAGGAGTTTTGAATCTGGACATCCACTGGTTGAACAGAGTTAGAACATCTAGGGACAGAAAAGAACAAGGCAGGCTTACTGCAGGGAAACAAATACGTGACATGCCTTGGATTTAGCATATGTTTACAACAAAGCTAAAGTTTCACGCTCAGTAATAATTCCCTCCTGGCCATCAGAGTCTGAGTACTTCTGTGGCCCTGAGAAAGATACAAAGTCCCGCAGAGGAGAACAAAGAAGGAGAAGCAGTTTTGGAGCTTTGGGTTTGAATCTTGACTTAAACACGCCTATTCTGTGCTGTGTACGCTAAGACTAGGGGGCAAGCTGGCTGTGGTGTTACATGGCCTAGCATCTCACTCTGGGAGGCTGAGGCAGAAGGATCTCAAGTTCAAACCTAGCTTTGGTAACTTAGTGACTTAATGAGATCCTCTTCAAAATTTCGTAAGAGAATACTGAAAATGGGCTAAGGATACAGCTCAGTACCTATGCCCTGCGTTCAATCCCCAATACTGTTAAAAAGTATTATAGGTGCAAAAGTTAAACTTAGACTACACCATGTTCAATGCCTGGCTACTCCCCATTCCCTCCGTAACACCTACAGAACACAGGGTAGTTTTGGCCCTGCCTGTCACCTCTCCACATAGGACAGTCTGCTAAAGGCAGAGACCAGGTATGCGCTCTTCACTAGACCAGCGCAGGCTGGCTCCCGGTTGGCCCTCCATCACATTTGCTGAAGACAGACTGTGACTATGGGGGCTACTTCACTGGGGTCATGGACACCTGTCTCTGATTGCCCTAAAGAAAACATTCTGCTGAACTCCTCCCAAAACAATCCTATGTACCCTCTTCTCCCAAATTATCATAAAAGGATCCAGTCCATGAAAAATAAAATTTCTACTAGAATCCTGATCATTCAGTGATGGTGTTAAAACTGGGCTTCTAAAGCTGGAGCATTAAATAGCATTTAATGGATAAAAATGGCAATGTTGACCCCGTTTTCGTCTTCAGGTAACGTGAAAGGACAATTTAAGGCTTAAGTGTGGACCGTGAGGGAAAAACAGCACAACGCCAGATGTTCTCTGTTCAGGGCCTGGGTACCTAATCAAGGAGAAAACCTTTTTAAAACCCATCGCTTACAAACGCCATATGTATATTGTAATTGTGCGATCATTACTTTTTGGTAACTTGGCAATTAACTTGTGAGGTAATTTTTTCATGATAACTGCAGCCACATTTCCCACACACATTACCTCCTGTGTATAGAATGGAAATCTAATTACTCTGTCCTGGAAAACTGCTTTATCTACCTGCAGGCTAGAAATTGCATGATAAATCCAAAAAGATAACCACCAAAATAGAGAAGTCAGTCAGTAATCATTTTTCAGCAAACAAAATTAATGTCTATCAGGAAAAATATGGTCATTATGCCTCTCTTAAAAAGCCACATGGATTAAAAAAATAATAATCAAAACAAAGCTTTTCATTAAAAATATCTGAAAACACAGTTGAAATTCAGCCGAAGTGCAGGGCTTCCCTTCTGCATTTTAAGCAGTGCCAAAAATAATCATCTCACCTCTGCTCTGTTCCTGGACAAAAATACCAATCTATTGTGGGCTCTGGGAATCCCGCTGCCACACACTGGAGCATGCCATTCGTGAGCCTGTCGTAAGTCAGGATTTCTGGTTTTGCTGCAGGAAAAAAAGAAAAGCAACCATATGTCAGACTGCTGAAAGGCCTCAGAGATTCATGCACTCTTTTTAATCTTTACAACCCCGGGATCTGCCTATGAGATGGAGGGAACATTTGTTAAAAGAGGAGAATCTGATCCAGAAGGGAAAGATAAAGGCAGGCAGACAGTGTCCAGTCAGGAAAGACTTAAAAAGTCACTGCTGTCCTCCATCTGCAGGCAGGGAGGTGGTCCTGGGAAGCAGGGGGCTCAGGACCACCATGTTCTGCTTCCACGGAGCGGGGACCTGCAAGGCGGCTTCAGTCCAGGCTCCAGGATTCCAAACTGCCCTAAAGTGGATCCTGATCAAAGGTTTCCTGCAGTGGGGATTTCAATCATTGTACCTGCAGTGGGATTTCCAGTGACTGTGTGAAGTAGGATGGATGAAATTAGGAGTCGTTAACAAAAAAAGAAAAGCTCTATTCTCTTTTCAAGGGGTCAGAAGGATGATAAAAAAGAAACACCCTGTTGATGGGGAAGCCAAAATACAAAAGAATAAAAACAATATAGGCTTTCAACTCCAAATCCTAATTTCACATACAAAAAACAAACAGAAAATCAGAAGTAGAAACTAGCTCAAGCATTTTATTCATACTTGTATCAAGAGTCTGAACATAATCAGGAAAAACATAAATTGCATCAGCAGGAAGGCTCTAATTTGACATTTCTGTGTAGCTATAATAATGGATATTCAACAAGTTCAACTTCTTGAAATTATTTCTAAAGTGAAAGAGGATGCATTTAAACTACCTGAAGCCTCCTAGGCCTCTGAGGCTGAGTAAAATGACCTGTGCGTGCCCTGCCCCTGAAGGGGCAGCTCTCTCTGCTCCAAGCCTGAGGGCACACCCTGGAGGGTGGTGTGTGGCACACAATCTAAACACCAGCTCCCACACTCATCCATTCCTTGTCACTGATACTCTATTTCCCATGTGTAAAATGGGAAAAATAAAAAGAAGGAAAGAAAGAGCATTCAAAAAATTTGAGAGTAACTCACAGAAATGTAACAATGTATTTATTATTAGTCGTATTGACTCCGTTACTATCCCAAGCAGAGTACCAACAGGGCAGCCTCCCTGGTTAATCAGTTGGCTACAGATAAGTGAAAGAGCCACTTTTACTATTCCCTTCAATGATCTGAAAATTGCTTTTTAAAGATAATATAGCCATGTGGGTGTTTTAACCGGATTAACTGCGAACTCAACATCAATTTCCACTGTAGCTGACCAAAAAATACACACAGTGAGAAAGAAAGACTGATGAATCAGAAGCTTAAGAAGAAGTTTATTTTCCCAAAGAAAGGTAACACTAATGAATGATCCTTTGGAGAATGACCTCTCAGCATTCACCTCCCTAGAGGCAAACCAGTTGGCTGGGACCAGGGTGTCCGCATGCATGACACACCCACCTGTCACTCAACCTGGCCTTGCTGATGGGCAGGCCATTTGGCAAATACACACAAAAGATGACTCTCCAAAGCAATCTCAAGGTAGGAGCATCCTTGAGAGTTTGGATCCAATGCCAGCTTTCACAAATAGAGCAAGAAGACGAGCCATCATCTTGCAAAAGCATCCATCTGGCAAGTTTCATTTAATTATCATGGGCAACTGTGTGATCAGGCTGAAAGTAGGACATAACTCAAAAAAAAAAAAAAAAACACAACAGTGGACTCTTAGGAGAATGCTATTTTTCTGGAGACTGCAGGCACCATACGGTGGGTCTCTCTGACTCACTTTACGAGTCACCTTTTAATCCCAAGTGACCTCTAGTTCTCCAAAGCCAAGCTGGCTGGTCCTTCTCCCCATCCTTATGGTGCTTAGGAACACCTGACACTCAGGTGCCAGTCAGATCCTGGTCTGCCACTTCCTTCTGCCTCTGTGTCAAGGGCAGAAACCTTGCTGATCAGAATTGACTCATGCGCAAAGTTTGACCCCTGGCAGACAGAGGTAAGAGCTACTGAATGTTTACAATCCCCATCAAAAGAAAAAGTCTCTAAGACCCCAAAGGCATTCAAATAGACTCACAAGAAGGGACCTGATGGTGATTTTCCTGAGTAGAAGAATTATTTCCACTATTCTTACAATAGAAATAATAAGAAATCCATAGGTGTTTCTAACCATGTGATTTTTTTTTGAATACTGAAACTAATAATGAGTGAGAAATCTACACATAGAGAGCAGAGCTACATGGACACCAGAATTCAAATGAGATTCAAGTTTATAACACGAATCTATTCAAACCTACTCTCCTGTTGTCACTTATCCTAATGCCCACAGTAACACAAGATGGACTTTACATGAAATTAAATATTAATTTGATAGAATAAAAAACTTTCTAAAGGCTGAAAAAATACCTTACAATATTGAAAGTGGTTTTATCTGGGCAGCAGAGTTATGAATAGTTCCTATTTTATTGTTTTGACTTATTCTCTAATTTTGTTTTAGTCAGTCAACATGTAGACAAAAATCCACCTATAAAACAGTTTAATGAACAATTGAAAGGGTTCAAAATTCCAGTCAATTACATATAGTTTTGGTGATGCGCGCTCTGAGATCCAAGCTGTCTAAGCACTGACACCTGGGAACAGAACATGGCTGGTGACAGTATGGTCTGGCTGGCCTACCTCTGTCTGGGGGCCAGTTAATTGGACGTTATATTTTAAAGCTATCATCTCAGGTGGGTTGTCGCCTGAGGCCAGTGAAGCAGCTTTTGTCCTGATGGGCTTTAGATGACCCCAAATCTTCAATGTGCCTTAAATTAAGAGGAGAGATTACATGCAGGCTAACTGGGTCCTGTTCCCGTAACTTCTGCAAACTGTGGATCTGACCTGACAATGTGCTTTATTCAAAGCAACTTTAAGCAATCCTGATCAGGGCCATGACTAGTGAGAGGCAAGAGAAGCGTGCAGGGTGAACTTTCAGAGGCCACTCACTCTAAGGCCCTTGCAAATTGGCACCTGCAAGTTGGTACCTCCTGAAAATCTGCAACTCTCTTGCCTCACCATGGTCTCAGCCTTGTCCCCATTGGTGGCGGTGTGACACCTCATCTAAGAAGGCTAAATTACACGGATCCAGTGTGGGCTGTACATGACAGGCTGCATTAGGAAAATGTTTTATGCATAAAGAATGAGCTAGGTAGAAATCTGATCCTAACAGAGAAAATCTGCATTTTGTAAGTGCCTCAGTGCACCATGTAAGGCATTAAAAATACATTTTGCTGCTAAAGATACATAACTCTCTGCAGTTCTCCAGGTTAAAGCTGAGCTGCGGTTTCTCAGATATTCTGCAATAAGCAGTATACCGAATGACACATTCCCTAATTCCTCCCAAGTTGGAGGTTTCGATAAGCCTAAGAGGTGCATAAGTTACATATTTTCCTTAGAGATTAAAAAAAAATAGTCTTTTCTCATCTCAAAGCATTGTGGACCTAAGTCCACAGATCAGCTTGTAGTCAGTAATTCTACTGAGAATTTATTGCTTGTACAATTAAAAATTCTAACTGTTCACTGATTTGCCCTGGATTTGTGATCTTAAAAAATACTCCTTTCCCTCACCATCAGGTGCAGGTGGAAGGCAAGAACAAAATGAATTTTAAGAACGTAGCACAGATAACAATAGCTGGCTGCCGAGGGCTGGGAGGAGAAACACACAGAACTATCTGGTTGGGGAGGTCTTGCCTCCATTCATCTCCGGGTGGCAAAGCACTCAGAAGTAGAGCTGTTCTCTCCTCTGGCTCCATCTTAACCATCTCCCGCTACAAAGCACATCTGCCCACACTCTGTAATCAGCAGGACAAAGAACACAGTCTAAGCCTCCAAATAATAAAAGACTAAGCGGAGAGCAATCGGAGAGATGAATTTGGGCTCCTGCGACTCCACGTTTGCTGGTGTGTAACAGAGATGTCACCGCACTTTTCACAGCTTGTCACTATCCTGGTTTTTAGTCTCGGTGAAACCTACATTCTTGCCATAACACTTAAAATAAAGGAATTTAAATCTGCTGAAATTGGGAATGTAAAAATAACTCAAGCTAACTTTTTTACATACTAAAGAAATATTGTATTTTTTTTTTTTAGAAAACCCCCAGAGTGGGTATTTTTGAAACATACTGTATGTTTGCATCCTTAAAGGTATCTAGAAATTAGTATATGGGAGGCTTAACAGAAGTTTAACAAACAAAACAAAATTTCAGCTATGATCTCCTGTACCCAACTATTTCTAACAGAATACCTATTTAAAAAAAAAAAAAAAAAAAAAAAACTACTGTCGTAATGAATAATGTGCGTAACAAGAAGATACGGGTAATCTTTTATGATACAGGAGGAGATGACAATTTCAGGTGAATATTTTAGGTTGGTATGCCATCAAGTCTGCCCTATCATGGAAGTACTAATGTAGCGAGACATTTCTGAACACATGGGCATGCACACGTTCCAGTAGACCTTGACTTACAAATACTGAAACTTGAATTTTATTCTCATGCCTCACAAAATTTATTATTGTTTTTCCCAGTACCCACTGCCAAAACCCTTGGTTTGTGGATCATTCAATATCAGGCAGCAGGATAAATCTCAAGCTTTTCTACCATATACATTTTTAAAAAGTCAGATCACACAGCAGGTAAGGGCTTACAAACCGGGACAGGTCACTTTGTTCCCTAACAGGTTTGGCTTTCAAATAGATTCTCCCCAATTAGCACACCCTCTGAAAGATCAACTTTCTTAGGAGATTATAAAGGAAAAATAATGATACCAATGCTATACTTGGGGAGGGAGGGGTTGTCTAGTTTAGTTCAGAGTTACATCTGTTGGATTTTTCCAAAGAAGAGAATCAAATTTATAGCCCAATTAAGCCACTATGTATTTTTTTCCAATTTTAAACGTCTATAATCAAAGTCAGGCGTGGTTGTGCATGCCTGTAATTCCAGCCCTCAGGAGGCGGAGGCACTAAGATCCCCTTGTATTTGA